GTCCCCCTGGGGGGGGGGGGTGATTTCTCAGTTTCTCTCTGGTGAGCTCACGTACTCTATAGCAAAAATCTCTTTAAAAGAGAAATGTGAGTTGAAGGACGCTGAGGTGTGAGTCCCTTCTGTATCTTTGCGTAGTTGGAGTTATGTGATGCATTAAGTGAAACAAGTTACACAACAGTAGGACAGTCAGCCTTGCCCTGTATGTAGCCTAATGGTTAAGGTAGCTGGAATCCCACAAGGCCAGCTGCACTTTGAATCCCCGTTCTGGTGGCTTAGAAAACATACTAGGTATAAGTGCATGCGTGCCACAAATCCCAACAGGATGGAGAAGGGTGCTTTCTACCCCAACCTCTCTCTCTAGCAAGTATACATACCTTGTGACAATTAAAATAGATAAAGGACAGTAAAATATCCAGGTCCTTAAAAATGATGACTGAGGCTGTGTATAAGAATATTAATAGAAAACATATGGGATAGCTTATCTTAGGGAAACATGGCAACCTTGGTTTCTGGTTTTTCTGGGGGTAGGGATGGGGCACAAACAGAGATGAATAAATATTCCACCTTGATTGACCTGTAAGCTTTTCTGTCAATATAAAAGATTTTGTCGGGGGCACTGGGGAAGCCGAGACTGGCTCCACAGTTGTGCTTCCAGCTCTCCGCACGGTGGTAGTCCTGCTGCAGGTTTTGCTGCAGACTGTGGCGTTCTTCTTGCCAAGGGCCGTGTTGGATCATCCACCCATGCTGGGGGGGGGGGGGGACTCGCTTTTAAATCCGCCCATAAGTTTGAGAAATTTCAATTTCTGTTCCTCTCTTTCAAAACCAGCAGTATCCCACTGGACAAACTGGCTTTCCGTCTACTTCCTAGTTTCAGAAGCTTCTGTTTTGCTGGACTCAGGATCAATCTTTTCTTGCAAGGCCTACTGCCTCGCTTGGTCTATATGCACCTCATCCATGTTGCCTTTTCTCCTCTTCCCCATTGCCAGACCTGCAGCCAGGAGACGATTGATCCAGGACTTTGCACTGGATGAAAGTGCTAGGTCTGTGTCTGCTTCCTCCTCCCAAGGGTCTCCTGTTGCCCCATTCTCTTTCCTCTTCTTTTTTTTTTCCTTATCAATCCCAGCTCTCCAGTGTCTTGCTGCTTCACCTTTTCCTTCCTTCCAATTTTTTAAAAATAATTATTTATTTTAAAATTCCATTTGTTATTACCTTTTTTTAATTTGACCTGACAGAGACAGAGAAAGGGAAAACAAGAAAGCAAGCTGCCAGGTCCGGGACTTGAACCATGATTGGCCACGTGGGAGTGTCCAATGCCTTAACCACCACGCCACTTGCTGGTCACTAGATTCAGTACTTCTAAGATAAGGCACCCCATAAAATAAGGCAACCCCACACATACCTCCTATATGTCCTGTGTAGGATCTGTAACTGCTGTACTCCACTCTGGGATGACTGACGGTAGGAGTTACGTATTGCACGGCTTTACTATCAGCAGCACTCGTAGTGTTAGAAACAATTGAAAAGCTGTAGGTTTATAGTTTTAGAAATCAGATGCAAAAATAAATCAAGTAACAGTCATTCAATGCTTAGTATAAAAAAATGACAAGTATTGGGTCATCAGGAAAGTCATGACACAATTTTGTATAGAAAAACATAGGTGAATACGTCATGCCCTTCCTGACAACCTCATAGAAGAAAATACAAGTAGACAGGCAGTCCTACTTTAAAAGTATAAGCCTGGCTTTCATATATAGTTCTAGGTGGACTTCTTAGCTCGATTTCTTTCTTTCTTTTTGGATAATTTGAGGGTGTGTGCACTCACCAGACAAAGAGACACACCCACCCAGAGACAGAAAGTGAGAAAGTACCCTTCCCCCCCCAAGGGGGCACGGTCACACTACAATCCCTTCTCTATTTGTCCTTCCTGTTGGGATTTTGGGCATTCATACACATGCACCCAGTCTGTCTTTCAAGCTGCCAGGTCTAGGACTTGAACCATGTGATTGACCATTTGGGATCCAGCTGCCTTAACCACCAGACCATTGGCTGGCCCTTGGCTCTGTTTCTTTTCTTTTCTTTTTTTTTGGAGAGATTTTTTGCTATAGGGCGTGTGCACTTGCCAGGAAGACAGAGAGA